ACTAGAATGATAATATTGAAGCTTTATAAATTATTGAGTAAGTTTAAGTAAAATATTAGAGCATAGAGTGCGATGGATTGATTGTAAGAGGAGCAAATAAGTTTATAGAATATGAAATTATTATTGGCATTACGATATTATTATGAAATTATCATCAATAAATCGTACAAAAAATTCATTGCTGTGTTTATTTATAAATGTGTCAATAATTATCAAAGTGGATAGACATTCATTTCTTACGTCATTAAACAATTATGCAAAAATGTATTGGAAAGTAACCTGGTAAAAATAGAGCAAATCATAAGCCATTCTTAGTTATTCGTAAAAGTTAAACTTTTATGTAAATAAGAAATTGAATAATTTTTATATGTTCACAATTAAGCTCTTTACTTTTTTTACAAATTGAATCTCTATTTGCTCACTGATAATTTCATAATAAAGGTTTAGAAATTATTTATAAATTTTAACAGGCAAATAATTGAATAAAGTGAATTCCTCTTACGAACGTATTGAAAGTTCTTAAACGTATATGAAGTGCTTATTTTCGAAATGTCTCTGGTCCAAAATGTTCAAAAAAGATGAATGAATCCGAAGGAATCGATACGGTTTGTCCTTTTATTTCTGCTTTCGTTTTTCCCAAAACGTTTTATAAACCGTAAAAAATTTCTTTCAAATACGAGTTTGAAATCAGAAACGAATCTTGTCCACAACAAGATGGCTGCCATCCTACAGCGAAACTATTCAGTACAAAACATACCTTATTAGTTGTCCTTACATAACTTTTCCGTTATTATTTTTTATTTCAAAATATCACTTTATCTTACAAAATTTGCTTTGAAAACGTTCTTTGTTCCCATCTTTAATTCTAATCGCCCTCTGTCCAAACTAATTTCTTTAATTATTCTGCAATATTGTATGATATTATGAAACTAGGATAGGTGGCCAGCGTTGGTGATAAATAAAATTTCAATCTATACTGTTCATGATAAATTATAAGTTGGAGCGACTTCAGAATCTTAATTATTGTTAATACAGTACTGTACATTAACAGTATTTTGTTGCTATGATAACGGTAAGTCTTAGAAGTAACATTGACAGTAAAGTAAAAGCTAAGTTTTATTAAAATATAAATTTCATATTATCTTTAAAAACTAAATGATTTTTCACTTCATTTTGTTCTCTTCCTTTATCTTCCCCTTTGAATCTGGGAAATGATATTAAATTCTTTACGAATATTATCTATTTTCTTCCATTCTCTTCTGAGATTCCACGCTGCATTCATCTCTTCTGAAGCACTTATCACGCAGTATTAAACATTGGACAATTTCCAATATTGTCTACTTTTATCTCTTATTCTTAATTCGTTTTCTGTTTTAATGAGTCCTTGAGCATTTCGTGGAATACAGTTCAAGTTTTTTTTTTTAATCCAAACAAATCTTTTAAATTTATTGTCTTTTTTAGCGCTATAAATATTATTATTTTTTGTCTAAATATTTAAATTGAAAAGACAAAAGAAAATTAACTTAGCAAATCCAATAGAGTGAAATATACTAGGAGATTATAATTAATGTACAGTACTCCTTATTCATTGCTCTCTAGATACAACCAAATTTAGTATGGCGACTTTTAAGGACAAGAAGACATTTCCGTTAAAAAAAAATTAGTATGAAAACTCGGCACTATGACACTAAAATTTCATTTGTAAAATACATGACTCACATACTTTACAGAGACATTAGCGATGCAAGGGGTACTGTCCAATTTGACCACTGTTCTGAAAGTTTGAAGGCAATGAACAGTGTTTTCAACAGCCGACAGTAAATTGATCATTTGTGATACAGTAATACCCCGAACTTACGCGATAGGTGGGACCGAGCGATAACCGTCTAAGCCGAATTCGCGTAAGTCGGGGTATAATTTCGCAATTTGTGTAAGCTAATAAATGTTCTTGTTAATCTTATCTCGTCTTTTGATTCGTTCACGGTTACAAGAAATCATCACATAGAGTCTCTCGAGTCTCCGTAGATATAACAAACACAGAAATAAATAACACAAAATAAATTGTAGCTATGTGTGGATTCGGCGCGACCGTCCGAACATGTAAGCTGTTTGATTATTATTTGTGAACTAGAATGATAATATTGAAGCTTTATAAATTATTGAGTAAGTTTAAGTAAAATATTAGAGAATAGAGTGCGATGGATTGATTGTAAGAGGAGCAAATAAGTTTATAGAATATGAAATTAATATTGGCATTACGATGTTATTATGAAATTATTTTTTCATTGAACAATAGTGTGGGGGGGAGTAATCGAGAGTTGCGTGGCGCTCAAACAAAAGATGAATCGACGAGATTTGAAAATCGCATAACTCCGGGTTCGCGTAAGTCGAGGTATAACTGTACTTTTGACATGTAGTGTCTTTCAAGGCTACCAGATTTGCAACATGTCCTCGATAAACCACACTTTTTAAGTATCCCCCGTCCAAAATTCACACGGATTAAGATCTAAAGGCCAAAAGAGTGGACACTTTTCTCTGTGTTAAAATTATATTTTGAGACACCATGAAGTGTTGATACTAGACACGGTACTTTTTCACATCCACTTTACTTTTTTTTATGTGCTTTATGGTGTATAAACTAATTGTTCCAAATGCCAATACGCGTTTCGGGATAGTGCCCTCATCTGTTGGCTAACATTATTTATTAGTACTGTACATAATATTAGCAAATCATCACTTTACAAAGGCTTTAATTTTTACACTACCTGATATAAGTTTTCTACAATGGTTTTAAATGTATTGTTGACGTACATAAACCGAACACCACTATGTATTGCAAACCAGTTAAAAATTCCTAAAACTATATAACGCTACATTTTAAAACGATACAACGCCAAATGTTTCCAATAAAAATTTTACATACCTTGGCCCATTTTCCATTTAAAAATTACCTGCAGAGTTCCATTTTTACATACAGTACTGATAATATTGCAAATAACATCGGACAGCAGCCATATACTGCCTAAAACAAGTTTTACACTCTGCGAATCATACCACAAACTGCACTTCCACATTAAATAATTTGCATATGTGCATGTAAACATTTATAGTTTATATATTTATTTCTTCTATTTCACAATAATTTTATTGTTACATTTATTTTAATACTTAAATTTTTATTACGTTTATTATAATTTCAAAGTTTTCTTTAAATTTTCTGCTATGAGTTGTCTACTACTATGTCTACTTTTTCCTCCTATTCTTAAGTATTTGTTTTCTGTTTTAATGAGTCTTTGTGCATTTCGTGGAAAGACAATTCAAGTTTTTTTAAAAATTTAAACATATCTTTAATTTTTAAATTTATTGTCTTTCTTAGCGTCGTAAATATTATCATCATCATATTTCCGATTTAAATATTTAGACAATTGTTATTATTAATTGTCTAAATATTTAAATTGAAAAGACAAAAGAAAATTAACTGAGCAAATCCAATAGAGTGAACATGATGTTCACGATGTAAAATTTTTATATTGTTTTTATCTATATTACAGTTTTGGAGTGTACAGTACAATGCTCATGAAAAACAGCATTGATTCTATTGTATTTTAAATCGGCAATATGTTCTTTTAACCTAAGTTTCATTTTCCTTTTTGTCTCTCCTATGTAAATTTGAGAATTATCCCAGTACATTGGATGGAGTAGGCTATACAGCATTGACTATTTCAATTATATCGTTTTTCTTATTTTCCGATTTTTGATTAATCGCTTGGCTTTTGTAATTTTTTTTTATAAGTAGGGGCTAATTTTATATTAAACCTACCAATTATTGTACATAATTCTTCAAAAAGATCTTGAATGTATGGAAAGGCTATGGATTTTTTATTTCGTTCATTTTCAATTTTATTCTGAATTATTTCTTTCTACCATTTTTCAATTATTTTGTTTGTTATTTAACACTAATTTTTCTTTAGTTCATTTATGTCTGTTTTAATATTGTCCTGTTTGCTTGTTCTATTTTTTATTTTATTATATTCTATGCTAAATATATTTTCTTAATATGTAGTGGAATGTTTGATTTATAATCAATTATCTTTTGTATATTATTCAATTTTCTGTAAGTCCTAAATTCTAATTTATATTTTTTCCTTTCTATTGTAAGATGTAAATAATTAATCTATTCCTAGTTTCGTTTTCTATTTTAAAATGTATATTTTGATTTAACTTATTAATTTTATTCTCTATTTTATCGATATCCGTAACATTATACACTTTTATTTCAGTAAATCAGTTTTCATTCTAATTTTTATTTATTAAAATCACAACTTAACAAAATTTTGATCAAAAAATTGAGTGATTAAATTTTGAGTTTCATTCTTCGTGTCACATACAGAAAAATAGCTAATGATACTAAATGAATGGCAATAGATCATCACATGGTTTACGATTTTAATGTTCATTGGATCAATTTCTGAATGATAAAATACGTCTTTCTCGCTTGTCCAGAGATTTCTGTGTCGTTTATCCAACGACAAAAATTACACAAAAATCGTGTATTTAAAAGTACTGTATTTGTAATATAGATCTGTTTTTTAAATTTTTTTTTAAATTTAAATCCAATGGATTATTCAAATAACAATATTTTATCTATTTTATTTTATGGTAAGGATTGTTCGTGAGTATTTGTATTCAATTCATATGCATATACTTAAATTGAACACACTGATACATAATATACATTAACTAGTGACTAAGTCATACCAATAACAAGGACTGCTTACGATTCTACAACAGCGATCTCGTGGAGCTGTAAGCAGGGAAGGAAATAACAAGGATAAAAATTAAAAATGTGTTTATTTCAAAACCCATTTTCTATGAATATCCGTCATAAATTTAATTTATTATTAATCTGCCATTTTAATTCTCTAAGTTACAGTAAATATTTATAACATAATTTATATATGTATATATAGATTATTAAGAAAAAAATATTGTTTATTTAGATGTCTTCCGTAAATAAAGATATCGTACTGGTGACCGGTTCGAGTGGATTCTTGGGTCAGCATATTGTCAAATTATTACAAGAAAAAGACGATGAAGTCGAAGAGATTAGACTGTTTGATAGTCGCCCTTATAAAAATAATTTAGGTAAATGAAATTAAAGTTTTATTTGAATTGTTTTTTTAATTGTAATTTAATTTCACTACATTTGAATAAAATGAAATCAAAAGCATAAAGAATTTATTATGGAATTAAACTGGTAATTTATTTCGTTCAACGAAAGATAAACCTTTTAAAAGATCAATTTTTCAAATATATTTCCTCAAAAAATTGATGAAAAAAACTTTATGGGTTAATTGTACCTAGATAACCCCCGTTTTTGTGCCTGGACCGCAGTTAATCAGAGACAAAGCTTTTTTTTTCGTATTCTTTATTTTCTATGCATTTCGGGTGCAATATTTTCTTTAATTTGCACCCCTCTTCAGGATTTTTTCTGTTTAAGTTTTAGATCGACATCTGCCCAGTGTTGATATTAAGGGGAAATAACATCAACACTGGGCAGATGTCGATCTAAAACTTAAACAGAAAAAATCCTGAAGAGGGGTGCAAATTAAAGAAAATATTGCACCCGAAATGCATAGAAAATAAAGAATACGAAAAAAAAAGCTTTGTCTCTGATTAACTGCGGTCCAGGCACAAAAACGGGGGTTATCTAGGTACAATTAACCCATAAAGTTTTTTTCATCAATTTTTTGAGGAAATATATTTGAAAAATTGATCTTTTAAAAGTAATATAAAGTAAACCGCACCAGGGATATATACATATCTATTACTTATGAAAGATAAACCTCCTAACACTATAAAGACCTATTGGATTGTAACGGTCAGACCATTCAATAGCAAAGTATTCTGTAGCCACCAAGAACTGAGGAGTACAGAGAAAACCCAGCCGTCAGTAAAGTCACATTGCTGGATGGTCGAGCGTTTAAGACAGGAACCCCCAAAGTGTGGATAGAGACCTGTATAGCACAATAAGGTATTTTCGGGGTCGATTGAAAACGGTTCATAAAAAAATTATTAGTCCAATGGGTTATGTATAGCCTATGACAATTCAGGTGTAAATTATCCCATTGTAAGAACTTCTTTATGGAAACGATGTATCGCTCACTAAATTTATTTATTTAGTTTGTTGTTATTATTAATTTTAACGACAGCCGAGCAGTTAAGATCCACTATGGAAACCAGGGACCGAATTAAGGGCTGTTTCACACTATGACCGACTGGTGCGACTGCAAGTCGTGTTGCCATGGCAACAGCAGACGGCCGACCGACTGGTCGTTCCAGTCGGACAGATTTAAAAAGTTAAATATTTGTAGTCGGGTCGGAGCAGTCGGTGAGCTACAGCCAATGAGAGCTTCGAAACTACAACCAATCAGACTTTGTATATATGAAAACTATGGAATCAATCAAACATAACTTTACATTATATATATTTCTAATTTATTTAAATTTTCCCTTGTACCTTATTTCTTTCATAACTGCTTAAATTTTATATGGGAACATATATGACTTTAATACAGTGGTACCTCGGTATACGTCTGCTTTAGAATCAGTGCTGTGCGATATCTATAATTTTAACATCGATGTTTGCGTAAGCATCGATGCTAAATTTCGATGTCGGATTTCACATCGATGTTTGATCGATGCCCATTGGAACATCGATGTTCAATCAAGATAAACTCAAACAATTTAAAAAAACAACAACAAAACCAGGTTTGTTCGAACAGAAGTTCCTGACGCATGCGCAATGTCATTTTACAATGCGAAGAATAACGTGCATGCCGGTTCTAAATCAGTTACAGTTAGGGACTAGGGACTTGCGTAGGAATAACGTAAGTAACCTAAATTAAGAAAGAACAGGTACAGATAATTTAGCTCTATATGATTCGTGTACGATCGTACATGCAAAAAAAAAAGTCGACAGAGTTTTTTTTACTCTTTCCGCCCTGTGGGCACTAAGAGGGCCTTTTATAGCAGGCCCATTAAGGGTTCGGCCAGGCCCACAATGGGGCGACCGGGTGGTGAGGGACGGGGCCCGACATATCCGAACGGACCAACCCCGAAAAATTCCTGGGGATTCCTTGACCCG